GATTACGCGACTGACAAACTCAGTAGGGGCAGGTACGCTAGAGTCTGCGTTGAAATTGATCTGCATAACCCTCTAGTTACAAGGGTGTGGGTAGGAGGCGCGTGGCAACAAGTGGTGTATGTAAATCTTTCCTTCTTGTATTTCATTTGTGGAAGAATTGGACACGACTCCTCTAAAGTGTTCTAGTTTATGCAGTGGAAACAAAGGAAAGCAACAACAATCTTCCCCTGTTTTAGTGTCTTTGACACCTAGCAAGGATAATAGTATGGATTTAGACAAGAATTTGCAATTAAATTCCATTACGGAATTGGGTCAATCTTCGACACCTAGCAAGGATAATACTCGTACTCCACGAAGGTTGCTAGTTCACGAGGGGTTGCCTCTTCCAAAAAGAATTGAAGTCGTGCCCTTAGTGTTCGTCACTCGTGGTCACAACATCGAGGTGCCATATCGACGAATAGAAATGTTCGTCACCAGGAGGAGGTGGTAGGGGTTCAACTTCAAGTGCGTTACTTCCCTCGCCCCATCGGTTGCCCGAAGATACCGGTGTTAATGACTCCGATCAAATTGGAGGATGTGGGACCCATGCAAGCAATGGATTATTGGAAAGACTGGAAGAACTTCTTCCTTCCAACTCCGGTGCAAACATTTCCAACAAAGCTATTGAGCCAAATGCTAGTAGAGAAGGAGTTTGGATTTTCTAGAAAGACAGGGTTGATCTTTTGTTACTCACTGATAGGGGTAACCTTTTCCATGGTCTCTTTCATTTCCGTAATGACACCCCGGAGGTGGTCATCACTGGCATGCATGCATCTAGCGTGCCTAAAGAGAGGCATTTGGATTGACAGAGAATGAAAGACTCAATTCCTCCCGAGGATACTCCTTGGCTTCTCTTAGGTGATCTTAATGAGGTTACCAAGCAATCCGAAAATTTAGGGGAAAGGCCTTTCAGGCAGAGTCAGTGTAAGGATTTCAATGAGTTTGCCAATAAGGCGGGGATGGTGGATCTTGGCTTCAATGGTGCTCCTTTCACCTGGACAGGAGGGCGCTTGCATTCGACAGAGGTTGGATAGAGCCCTTGGTAATTTATCTTGGTTGGATTTCTTCCCTCACTCATACTAACTATTCTGATCATTGTCCTCTTTTAATTGACATGACAAATCCCTCTGTTAAGGGCCCTTTTCCCTTGAGATGCAAAGAGGTGTGGCTTGAACACCCTGATTTTGCCTCTTTCTTTGTTAAAAATTGGCAATTAGAGAATAATAATTTTTTAGATGGTCTAGGAAATTTTAATTCTAATATTAATGACTGGAACCATAATATTTTTGGTGGTTTAAAAAAAGATTATTATAGCTAGATTAGATGGAATTCAACGTTATTTAGGCTACAATAAATCTTTTTTTTCTTGAAAATCTTGAGAAGTCATTGTTACAAAATTTGGAGGATATTCATAAAAAGGAAAGGATAATATGGGCTCAGAAAGCTGGAATTAATTGGCGTAAATATGCCGATCAAAATATAAAATATTTCCATATTATCGCCAAAATAAAAAATAAAAAAAAAAAAGTCAAGGTAAAATCTTAGCTCTTAAGGATAATAATGATCTTTGGATTAAGGATAATGGCGAATTGAAGATTCTGGCAACAGATTATTTTGGAGATATTTTTCGATCTAGATTGCAATCTTTATCTTTGCCTAATTATTATGTCCCGAATTTTTGTTTAACTGACTCTCATCGTACTGCTATGTATCGTATGCCTAATTTTGATGAGGTGAAGGTAGGATGGAAGAAGGTTACCATGCCTCTAGCTGCAGGAGGCCTTGGTATTAGGAGGCTTAGAGAGTGGAATTTGTGTTTCATGGCCAAATTAGGTTGGACTATTTTAAATAATCCTTCTAAACTTTGGGTTCGAATTTTTAATGAGAAATATTTAAAAAATTCTGCTTTCTTTGCTTGTGTTCCTAAAGTCTCTCATTCTCAATTATGAAAAGATATTCTTAAGGGAAGATTTCTGTTAGCTTCAGGCCTTCGAGTTGGAATTGGTAATGGAGCTTCAACTTCTTTGTGGTTCCATCATTGGGTAGGAACGGGCCCTATTTATCCTCTTTTAACAGGTGAAATCCCCCCTTCATGGCTAACTGGTTGGTGCATAATATTATTAAGGACGGGGTTTGGTATTTAAATGAGATTGAATATCTTCTACCCCCTGACTTAATCATGGAAATTTTAGCCACTCCCATCTCTATCATCTCTAATTCTGAGGATTTCATTCATTGGACTTTCACAAAATCTGGTGTTTTCACAATCAAATCTGCGTATCACTCTCTTATATCCTCCTCTTATTCTCCCTTCCCATACTTCTCATCTTGGAAATCCTTGTGGAAAATAACCGTGCCCTCAAAGTATAAAATGTTGCTCTGGAACATAGTCCATAGCATTCTCCCCGTGGTTGAAAAGCTTGCAGTCTTCTTGCCTCATATCTCTTCAATATGTGCTAGATGTAGCATGTTCAATGAGTCACATTTGCACCTTTTCATGGATTGTTTCTCTTCGGCCATTCTCTGGAAAGATATTTTTGCAAAAATACATCTTCCAACTGGTTTCAGTTTTCATTCCTTTTATGATATTGATTGGTGCGACTGGCTCACATATAATCTTAGTTTTGATAGACATTGGAAGATGACATTTACAATTGCTCTTTGGCATATTTGGAGACAAAGAAATACTACTGTTTTTATTTAAAAATTCACAATTCTAGAGTAGATTTCAGTAGATTTATCATTGATTACCAGTGCACTAACCATATATTGCAGGGCAAAGCTTTAGCTTCATGTGCTGCTAGTAGCTCCAATGCAAGGAATTCTTGGATTCCCCCTCCTCCAGTCTCGGTGAAGAGATCAATACGGATGGAGCTTGGGTAAGAATTAATGTTGCTGCAGGGGGAGGCATTATTAGAAGGGATGATGGGTCATGGATTATGGGCTTTTCGAGCAAGTACAATGCAAATTCTGCATTTGCAGCAGAGCTCCTTGCGGTCAGGGAGGGTCTGGAGATGGTTAAGCGCCTTGAAATGAAGGAAGTGGAGTTGGAGGTGGATGCTTTATCAATTGGAGTCATGCTAAGGTCAGCAGGAAACAATCTCCTCCATGAACTTGCTGCTGTCGTGAAAGACATTGAGAAGACTATTGAGTTTTTTGATGTCTTTGAAATTATACATGTGCAAAGAAATAACAGTGAAGTAGCTCATGAATTGGTTGCCATTGGTCTGGATATGGGTGTTGGTCACCATTTACACATGGCTTGCCCTGAAAATGTTAAGCCTATCTACAATGCTGAATTGGCTGCCATCAATGCTGCAGCACAAGAGGACGCTCCACAAGAACAGGCGGATTAGTGTATCCCCTGCCAATCTAAATCATATCTGTAATCGAGCTAGTCTTGCTACTTTGTTTTTCTTTCAGTCTTTTATTGCTTTGCGGAGGGGCACTAGTTGTGTTAAGGTTTTGATCTTCATTTTTTTACTGTCTTGGAGATCAATTTCCTGTGGTTATGCTTTAGCCTCGGATTTTGTCAACGGATCGAGGTTTTTTGTTGTTAAGTTGATGTTTGTAAAACTTGATATATAGTTAATAAATCGTCTTTTATGTGTTTAAAAAAAAATTTAAAAATTGCACTTTTACACATTTAAACACAATAATTCATTACAAATTAAAAATTATTCTTAAAGAAACTAAAGTTACCATTTGTTAAACAGACCAGGAAATTTTTCATCTTACGATAAAACTAAAACACAAACTTTTAAACAAATCGGGTGTACAATAATTATTGTACATTCATTATAAAGATAACCTAAAGAGATTAAAAGTTACCCCTAAAATGAATAAAAGTTACCCCAATATGCGTTAAAGTAACCCAATTCAAATAAAAATTATCTACGCTTTCTTAGTAAAGAATCACATTTTAAATGACTAAAAATCAATTATTAGTGATTGAATGTAATTAAATTACTTTTATAAAAACTTTTCTTGTTATTGATTTATATACAAATTGTATTATGTTTAAAGTTACCCTAAAATTAGCTAAAAGTTATCCTTATTCTACTCGATGTACACTAATATTAATGTAAACCGAATGTATACAAAAGTTTTTTAAACTAAAATAAGCGCCCCTTAAACAAGATTTATTGATGTTGCAATTTACCAGATTTAATTAACAATAATATCTGAGGAAGATACAAGTTGGGAATTTTGTCTAGCCCTTTTCTGCTCTTCAGACAAAAAGATAAACAATTCAAAGTATAGAATTTATCCACAATTTAAGTTCACAAACCACCAAAATTGTAAAATTCCATATTTATACTTCCACTTCAACAACTCAACTGCCATACAACGCCATTCATGCATATGGACTAAATTTTACAAATATGCAACAACATCCAACAACATACATTATGCCTACATAATGAACACCAATCCCAAATCATATCAATTAAATACAAACGTCTAACTGATAAATTAAATTGATTACATTCATCAATGATTGACTCACTATCAACTACGATTATCTATGTTACTTCGACTCTTCTGACTTCTGTTTAAGTTTTCATATTCAACGCTCCAACAAAATACTCGTATAATCTTTACTCTAAGCAAATAAGTGAACCCTTAATACAAGTATATACATCAATAATGTGAAAACTAAGAAGAATAGAGAGAAATATGTTTCATAAATAAATGTCGTGTCCCCGCACCTGCATCAAGGTTCCGTGATAGAGTTGCGTAGATCATAACGATCAACACGCGTACACGTGTCCAAATAACATAGATCATAAACAATAACCATTATGATAACATTCCTGTTGAACAGAAAAGATTTGTTTCTGAAATCTGCAATTGCTTAAGAATGAGGGTACCCCTTCTAGAGAAAAGAGGTGGTGAAATAATAATTTCAATCACAAAAATGTGAAGAATAACACAAGTATATATTCTCACAACACACAGAAATCAAGAGAACATTTACCCAATACATAAATAAAATATGTATCATTCCAATGTTTTGTCTCATATAATTAAAAATAAGATGTCACCTTCTACTATATATCAGAAAATTGCAGTTAAGTTCACCATACATAAAAGCAATTCTTAATAAGGAATTTTTGATTAACTCCCTCTAATTTAGATGATTAATCAAAACCCAAAAAAACAAAGGAAAAATCATCTTCTTTCTATAATTTAATTAAAAAAAAAAACCACCCAAAATAGAAAATTATTTTACTGAAATTTAGAACCTGGAGTGTAAATAGCAAGATCAGGCCAACCATTAGTTGTGCTCCAATTACAAGATTGATCACCCCCAGTTTGAAGTCCACTCATGAATAATCCTTCTGATGTAGAACCTCCATTTCCATGAAACAATTCCGAACCCGGGTTTCGGCTTGACCCATCACCTTGACCCAACTTCAGACCTTTTGGGGCTAGACCCTCTAGGAAGAGGTTACTGAATTGACCCTCTGAAGCCAGCCCCAGCAGGGAGGTGAAGCTCCCTACCGCACTCCCTGCTGGTGCTGGCAAGCGCAAACCCGTCTCGACTTCCGGGGTGAACGTCGAGACGGGTTTGGGCTCCGGCCTCAGACCCGATGACGTCGAATGGGTCTGAGCTGCCGAGGAGGCGGAAGTTGTAGAGGAGGATCTCTTCGATGAGATGCGTTTAGTGTTCTTACGGCTTCCGCCCCCAACAGGTATGTTCCTCAACGAGCCGCCCTTCGTCCAGTACCTCTTACAGTTCTTACAAAAATGGCGAGGTTGGGATAAATTATAGTTGTTGTAGTAGCAGAATTTGGTGTTATTCGAGTCGCAACGTGGGCATTTGAGCTGCTCTTGTTCAGGAAATTGTGGCGCTTTCAACTGTGGAAATGCTGCTGCTGCTGCAACTGATGGATCTTGCATTTGTAAATATGTCTGATTAATTTTGGGAAAAATCTGAGTCAATTATCTCTTTTTTTTAAAAAAGAACCCAAAAAAGATCTTCAAAACTATTGTGAAGTGGCAAAAAAGGTAACCCAAAATTGGACAAAAAAAAGTTGTTTTCTACCTCTAAAAACAACACCCTTTTTTTCTTTTCAAAAGACAATTCTGTATAATTCAGATCACAACAACACAAACAAACCAACAACTTTTCTTCTAATCAAATCTAAAACCCGACACACGGGTCGAAAAAAACGAACAACCCGAACTCAACCCGAAGTTTAAATCCTAACGATTCACAATAAGACAATAACAGAAAAAATGGAGAAGAGAGAAAATGGGAAGAAATTAAAGAAAGAAGAAGATATTTTGGAGGTGTGCAAATTATAGAGAGTTTGATTAATAACTTTGTTGTTATCTTTGACAGTGTTTTCGCGTGAAACTGACCACCCGACTAGTGGCCGACTGAAAATAGCTACAAATAGAGTGTGAACTTATAACTAAACCGCCCTAGATTAATTGTCTTCTAGATTGTTACTAAATTAGGTTAATTAAAAGTATTAAGATGGAATAATTTGGATATAATTTTTAATTATGGCTTCAATTGCAAGCTTTGTCTTGTGATTGGGAAGTTGTGGAAGACACGTGTCAACTGCTATGAGGAGATTGGTCTTTTTATGGTTTTCCTTAAACTCATGATTTTATAGGAGGATTATTATATTAACCATATTATGGCATGTGCTTTAGCTATTGTGTAAAGTAGTTTTGTTGAGGTGATTTTTTTATTTGGATTGGAAAAGTGTTTTTTCAACTTTACTCAGTGAATAGGTTCTTGGAGTTTTATTCTTTTTTGCACGGGTATGGGCCGTGTAGGAGACTCACAAACGGCTTGTTTGGTAATTGCGGATAGTTGGTTGAAAAGAGTTCATTCGGTTGAATAGTTACATAATTTATTTTTTTTATTAACTAATTGTATTTGTTGTTTGTGTAAAATTATGGAGTTGAATTAGCTAATAATTTGTAGTTATTTTGTTACTTGGACATATGAAATGATATCACAATTTAGTGTATTGATAATTTTAATAAAACAACATTTAACTTATATAAATGAGATTTATTATTCAATGTTTGAGACTCTTTGTCCAATATATGAGACTCATTACATATTGTCCCACTAGGCCACTACTGTAATAATGTGGAGCATCAAGCATAACACCTCTCTTAACCAATAATATCAGTTTTCATTGATGATTGCAAAATAGTAAAACTCAAGTAATTTTCTCTAAGGGCCTTCAACTTCCAACTATTTTTTGCTAAATGACATGCATGGAGCTCAAAGGAGTTAAAAACTTTTGGATCAATTTGTCCAATATTATTTTATAATATAAATAAAAAAAAAAAAAAAACACCACTCCTAGCTAAAATAATACAAAATGATTAAAAATAATAATTCCCAATTCAATTCTTAGTTAGATTTTGATGGTGTTTGGTTAGGAGCTTTTTGTTTGTTAAATTCAGAGCTTTTTGGAGCAAAAGGTAATGTTTGGCCATTTCAAAAAACTATTTGGAATGTTTGGTTAGTGTCCTGTTTGGTAATTAGGTGGTATATGATTGATTTACTTGGTTATATTAACTGATTTTAACTAGCTAGTCGTATCAGTTAGTTTGACTAATTAGTTGAAAATAGATGGTTATGTAAAAATTACTTGGTAAATAGTTGTTTTTTCGTATCTAATAATTAAAAAGTTAAATTTTCAATAAGCTAACTTTAAAAATAAAGTTGTTTTTAAATTTTGAAATTTTTCAAAAAGAGTTAAAAAAAACTCTTTCAATAAACTATTTATTACCAAACACTCAAGTTAGCATTTTTATTTGGTCAAACAACTTATAGGCCCTCAAGGCCTCAATAAGCTAAAAGCTCTTTACCAAACAAATATTACATAAAGACTAATTAAGACAAACTCTAACGGTCTATTATCTTTAGCTTAGTTTCTATTAAGTCTAGTTCCTAATTTTCTATTCTCATAAAATATTCATTTCAATTCAGTTCAAGTTTAATCAGTTTATTTCAGTTGAATTCATTTCAATTCAACTCAGTTTAGTAATCAGAACATACCCTAATCTTCATGTTATTCAAAATTTGAAACTTCTTCCCTTACTTTCAATACACTTCTTTTATTTTAATCACAATGGTTCATAAATTCGAATGAGTTGTGGCTGCAAATTATCAAAACAACTAAACAAAATATAAAAGGACCTTAAGAATCCAACAATGAATACAAACATTATTCAAACCCCAATTTTTAAAAATAAACAGTGGTATATGATTTGACTAATCCTATCAAACACCTTTTACAAAAGATTGTTAATAGATTAATGCACAACATTTATTTTTGATACTTTTAGTCTTTTAGAAGATGGATGATGAAAATTACACATCTTGAAAGAACATAGTTTGGTAAGAATATTACAAAAAAGTCAATATGCCATTTGAAATTGGACGCACATGGTAGTATTAAACGTCTAAACTAAACTAAAATTAAAGTTCACAGCCTCCCCCTCCAAAAGGAAAAAAAAAAAAAAAAGAAAAAAAAAAAAAGGTAGTAGTATGTAACATCCTATCACTAGTAGTAATCTTCTTTGACTTAAAAGAACTCTAAAGTCAAAATACGCAGAATATTTCCTCAAACCTGAACTACCTGTCTTTCTCTAATCTCTTCTATGGTTGAAGTCGAATTTGTCATTTTTTGGCGTACTTGACTATTCTATGTTCACCTATACTCTGTACTCTTGGCCCTGTTCTTTAGAGCTGCTCTGCTCCGTAGTGTGTGGAACTCTAACCCTACTATGCTCTGTTCTATCCTGCCCAAAAGCTCAAAAAGAACAGGGTCTTAGTTTATTTTAAATGTAACAATTTGACTGATATAAAACTAAGTGACTGAATTATATTAATACAAAATTAAGTGATTAAATTATATGGAGTATTTGTTAAAATATTATACTCTATAGTTCATATGTAAGGTTTATTGGAGGATTGAATAGTTCATATGTAAGGTTTATATATATATTGTAGGATAGTGAATTAATTGTTTATAAAAACATAAGAGATGTGAGATAGTAGAAATATGAAGTAATGAAAAAAATAAATTCGGTAAGTGTAGGGATTATGAGAAGAGAAAGTTATAAAAAATGTTAATATGTTTTCATTTAAGAAAATAATGCATTTTAAAAAAAAATTGTCATTTAAAAAGGAAAATTGTATTTTAAAATAAAAAGAAGGGAGTATTTTATGAGGATTAAGATCATGTTTATTGCACCTTATTTTTACTTATTTTATATCAGACTAGAAAAAAAAAAAAAAAAAAAAAAAAAAAAAAAAAAAAGGAGTTCTGATCTACTTCCTTCAAACATGCTTCAAAGAGATACTAAATAAAACTAATATACAACTTTCTTATAAAAACAACCGGTTTGAAAGGTATGAGTATTTGCCTTCAAACATGCTCTAGAAATACTAAATATTACTTGCGTTGGCTTTATATCCCAATTTCCATTGAGTTTAGGGAATGGGCCGAAAAACAGGGAACACATAGATTTTTGAATACACTAAGGGTCTGTTCTCATTGACTGAACTCAGCTGAACTGAAGTGAGCTGAACTGAATATTTTATAAGAGAAGGAAATTAGGAGTTGAGCTGAACTGAACTGAGCTGAACTGAATATTTTATAAGAGAAGAAAATTAGGAGTTGAGCTGAACTGAATTTCAACGTAAGAGAACAAGCCCTAATTCAAGCTCAAAAAACACCAAAAGTCTAAAACGATAGGTAAAGACTAAAGAGGGGTGTAGAAATATAAGTCGACAAAGAGTTGACAACACAATTTGATTCACTTTTATTGTCCCATTTTCCATTGAGTTTGGGAAATGGTTAAAAGTATAAGATCATCTCCAATTGTGAGACTCAAACAAGTATTTTTAGGTAAAGATGGGCATCGTGTCGTGCCTAGGTGTGTCGGGGTGGGGGCGTGTTGGGTCGTGCCGTGCCGTATCAACTTTTGGCACACCCCAGCCTACGGCACGACCCATGTGCCTAACGGGCTGTGTCGGGCCGCGGGCCAACCCGATTTTTTTTTATAAAAAAATATATATATGTATATTAAAAAAAATCGATATATAATTATTTTTTTAACAACTTAAGTTTACATTAATAATTTTATTAATTGCTTATGTTAATGTTAATGTTAATGTTAATTTTAATATATATATATTTTTTAATAACCTTAATTTAGTTAAGATTATATTAATAAATTATGTTTAAGTTTATATAAATACTTTTATTAACTTAGCAAAAAATAATAATGCGTGTCATGTTTGGCCGTGTTGTCGTGTGCCGGGTTGGCGGGTCTGCTGGCGTGCCGATCCACGGGCCGGCCACCGTGCCGCCCGCCGTGCCAAAATTTCATTATTGTGTCTACGGCACGACCCACGGCCCACAAGTGGGTCGTCGTACCGTGCCGGTAACCGTGTCCAGACACATGGCCATCTTTATTTTTAAGTGAGAGAGACTATTTTTTGCAATGTGTACCAATAACTTGGTATCTAAACTTAGCAACTCGCAACTCCAAGAAAATTGTTAAGTTTGAATACTCAACTTTGAGTCTCATTTGATTAAAAATGTGGGCCCTTGTTAATATTTCTAATATATTTTGTAATTTATTTAAGCTTTACCTTTCTTCTTCTTCTTCTTTTTTTTTTTTTTTTTTTTTTTTAATATTACAATATTTGATATTATAAAAGAAATAGATTTGGTAGGCCATAAATTGAAAGTGATATTTGTATATTATTGGAGGTTAAAAACAACTCATTTTGTATTTCAATACTCAAACTTGAGTCTCACAATTGGAGATGGTCTAATTGATACCGTACCCTCCAAAATTTCCACAAAAGCAATACATTATTCTCTTCGTATTTTAATAAGTGTTACATTTGTTTTTTTTTTTTTTCTCACTATTTATATAATGGGTTTGACTTGATTAATTTACTAATACATACTCAGATGATTATTATGTGTTACAAAGTAATATTTTATGTCTCACAAATAATACCCTTTTGTTGCACATAATAATTAACGGAGGTAGTAAAAAAAAATCAATTTTATGGTATAATATATTGTTAGATTCATAATAATGTATATTTTCATAATCATACGATTAAATAAATTAATTATCAAAGTCGTGCCTCGGCATGCTTATTTGATCGAAATATAACACTTATTAAAGAACGGAGGGAATATAGAGAGTGTAGATAAAGTTAGCAAACGATGAATATTACATCGAGTAAATCTTTATATTCTCGCCTTATCCAAATCAAAGTTTGATCTTATTCCAATCCAAAATTTGGTTTTATTTCAAATTTATCTATTTTTATTATTCACTCAAATTAGCCAAATATGATATTTTCACCCCATATTTACGAGTATTAATTTAATTAAGGATGAGAGAAATTGTAATAAGTGATATTGAAAGAGCAAGTAATTAATGAAGCAA